GGGCAGGCGGGTCTAGACCCTTGCAGTCCTAGCAGAAGGCTGGACTCCTTTTCCAGAGTCTTCCAGCCGATCTGGCATTAACGCTTATGTACCTTGTAAGAGAATCCATGGTGGATATCTGGGCTCTGATGCAGGCACCAGGGGGAGGGGACAGTTTTAGGGTCCAGAGATGTTCAGTGACAAGGTGACTGTGGGGGAGACCAAGGTCTGCCTGCTGTCCCCCTATTGCAGGGCAAAGGCACAGCACGTGCAAGGGCACAGAGGCATGTGGTGTGTCTCCCTGGGGATCTGGGGTGATTCTGGATGCCTGGAGAGAAAACTGTGGACTGGGGCACTCCTGGGAAGAGCCCTCCAGAGACTGGGGATGCAGCTGGAGGGTGCCAGTCACTAGGCAAGCTGTTGGCAGCAGTGAGGCACCAGCAGGCTGGCGCGGGCCCACTGTGCCTCGAGGCTGGCGCTGCGGATGAGGGGTCATGGTCTCTGCCCTCCAGGAGTGTCTGTGGCAGCGTGGGTGAGGGGTGTTGAGGGATGCTAGGTAAATAGAGGCTGTGCCACGCTGCTTCATACATTCCACACCTGTGTCCCTGTCCCTGATGAGAGGGGTGCCGGGGCCAGGCCTCGTGCTCCAGATAGTGCACTGGTGGGTGACCTGCTCGCTCAGGGGAGCGGTGCTGGTGCTGCGCCTCCTCCCACCATGGGCCGATGACAAACAGTGTGCTCCTCCCGTCACATAGCGCGGATCTGAGGCATTTGGTGGCTGACTGGGTGTGTGTGCTGGTGTGCGGTGGGGGGGTGGCTAAGGATGAAGTCCAGGATTGGGCTTGGCCCTCAGCGTTCAGAAGGTCACAAAGCCATGGGTGTGGCTGCAGAGAGCCTGGGGGTTGTGGAGCCAGGTCTGGAGCTGGTGTCCCCTCGTAGGGCACGGCCCAGGGCTTGAACCACACCCTGCCCCGCCCCCAACAGGTACTGGAACTCCTTGAGGAACCTGGTGGTGTCTCTGCTCAACTCCATGAAGTCCATCATCAGCCTCCTCTTCCTGCTCTTCCTGTTCATTGTGGTCTTCGCTCTGCTGGGGATGCAGCTGTTTGGGGGACAGTAAGTGGGCCCAGAAGCGGGGAGTCCAGCGCTGGTGCCCACCAGGAGGCAGAGCTCAGAGCACTGTCCCTCCCCGGAAGCCCTCGGGGGCGGGTGGTGCTGAGGAAGCAGCCTGTCGCAGCCCCATCGTGGCTCACTCGCAGCCCCTCCGCGGCCCAACCACTCGCAGCCCACTCGCAGCGCATTAGCAGCCCGCAGCGAGCATGTGTGTGCTCCATGCGTGCTCCCGCTCAGTCTCCCTGCTCCCCTGGGGCCGCCTCCGCCCAAAGTTGCTTGTTTTCCTCAGGTTCAACTTTAAAGACGAGACTCCGACAACCAACTTTGACACCTTCCCTGCTGCCATCCTCACCGTCTTCCAGGTAGGGCTCCCAGCTGGCTCCACTCCCCGCTGCCCCTGCAGCCCCCGGACAGTGGACGGTTCACACAGAACCTCCCGTGACCCAGAAGAGAAGCACAGGAGCCTCCCGTGTGCATGTGCGGGGCTCCCAGGAGCCTGGCCGGGATGGCGAGGGAAGCTGGGTGCTGTGACCCTGTCCTGAGGAGCAAGGGCTGCTTCCTGGGGACCCAAGTGTCCAGCAGCCACTGGGCTTCAGCCACCAGTTTCTCTCTCGGACCCTGGGACCTGGAATCACTTCGTCTTTTATCCTGTGAGAGTGAAAAGACAAAGCACTCCTTAAACTTCTCCCTCTAGTGTGTCAGGCTCCCGGGGCCCCTCAGTTCTCCTTCGTGTGTAGAAATCTGCCCATGACAGCTCCTTGGGACGCTGAGGCCGTGGGCCCGTCTTCTGTAGGACGGGGCCCTGTCGGCGCGGGCAGCCTCTGCCCCCTGGAGGGCTTCCTCTTCCAGATGCTCTTGGTCGAGCACCTTCCCTGTTCACGGGGCTGTGGCTCCCAAGTGCCACCCATGACTGGCCTCGCTGACAAGATAATGCATTTCTGTCCTGCGAAACCCACTTGGATGCCGTGTCTGAGAACAAGCACCAGGATGACTCTTTGGGAGGCCTGACAGGCCGTATGTGCCCCCAGCTAGGGGCTCAGTTTAAGCCCCTGGACTTGGGGGCTGCCGACCCGACCCCTGACCAAAGCTGGAGCCCACGACACGTGTGAGAAATGGGACCTTTGGGCCCCTGCTCTCAAAGGGAGGGAGACTTTCTAACGACTGTTCAAACCAAGCCATTTGCTCCAAATGACATGTGCCCACACCCTTCTGTGACTGTCCCTTCTCACGTGTTCGCACTCCCTCCCTGTCTCCCTGGGCCGCAGCCCTGTGGCCCCTCGGCTCCCGGTCACAGCCATGCTCTTCCCCCAGATGCACTCATCCTCTGAGCCTGTCAGGACCTGGTGCTGTGCTTGTCCCTTCCTCCTCTCTGGCCTCAAATGGAGTCACTCTGTGTCATTCGCTCCGATTCCTTAAGTATGGGGGTGACTGTAGCCTCCTCTGTTCTCCCTTTCCCTGATGGACGCCTTGAAAACTTTGGCTCGCTTACTTTGGCCGTGACTTCCAAAATTTGGTCTCCCAAATGTTTTGAGCACTTCGTGGGAGACAGTCTCTGGGGACGAAGGTGAGTGGTTTCCAAGCTGGGGGCCTCCAGCAGAGGGCGGCCACAGCCTTTCCTGGTGAGCGTGGCCTGCTCAGCGATGGGACGCATCTTCTTCCCATGGGGTCATGGGATCAGGGTCGCCCAGTAGGGCCTTGAATGCCAGGCAGGAGACATTGGGAGGAGCGTGTTCCAAGCAAAGCCGTGAGAATGGTGAGGGCGGTCTGGGTGGCAAGAGGGCAGGTGTGCGGTGCGGGGCTCTAGGGCTGGCGGGGCCGGGGTGGGTGGCCTTACGTGGCAGGACGAGACGCTTCCCCAGCGGAAATCCTCCCAGGGGTTCCCAAGCAGGGAGGTGAGTGACTGAGGGTCAGACGCTGCTACGTTGTGTTTGTTCCAGGGAAGGGCCTGAGCTCGGTGAGAGCAAGAAGAGGTCAAAGTTAGGAGAAGCAGTGTGTTTCCTTCTGAGCAGATGATGCTCTGGTTTGACCTTATATCCCCTCTGCTCTGAACACAGCAATAAGATAAAAAATACAATTAGAAATTAAAAGGACCTAGCCAAGCAAAAGCCAAAATCTCTGTGGACTAGAAGTGGAACAGAAACCCGCAGTGGCGAGAGACGGCAGAGACAGGCCCGGGCACGGTCTGGGAAGCGGCGGCGTGCTGGCCTTTGAGCGCCACGGGCGTCAGAAGCGTGCACCGTGAGTGCTGGGGAGGGCCCCACGGCCCCTTGAAGGAGGCTGAGAAGAGCCAAGGGCTGTCATGGCTGGAAGAGGCCGAGAAGGTCGCAAGGGCAGGACCAGGGCAGACGGCTGGTCAGGCCAGGCCTGCGATTCCCCCTGGGATGACCCTGAACCGGGAGTCTGAGGTCCCAGGGCGGGAGTGGGGACAGGGAGGGCATGTGACGAGGGAGAAGACACTTCGACTTTGCCCTGGTGACGCTGTAACTAAAACACAGTGAAAAGTGACACGCAGAAGAGGACTGACAACATCCCCGGTCAGAGGTGAGGTCACTCCCAAAGGAGAGGAGGTGACAGCACAAATGCAGATGGCTTCACAGCCTCAAAGGGGTACAGGGAGAACCCGTAAAAACACAACATTATGAGAAAAGGCACCCAAGAGAGGTGAGTTGGAAGACATGGAGGGGCTGAGCCAGCTGCGCCGTGCAGGCGAAGCCACGGGACACACTGCCGAGAAGGTGGGCGCAGGCCAGGGCGGGTGTCTCAGACGTGCCGTGCAGAAGTGGGAGGCCGGTGTCCTCCCAGAACGAGTCCTAGAGATGCGCACTCAGAGGGCCGAGCAGGAGGACCAGAAATAACCTCCAGACCTAGACACACTGGAATAAAGAGAGAATCTTAAAAGCCACCCTAGAAAGAAAGATTTCCTATGACGGAATGACACGAACTCTGACAACAGACTTGTCACAAGCAACACATGCCAGAAGGTCATGGAAAAGTAACTCTGACATACAGGGGCACAGTTAAGGTCAGCCTAGAGTTCTGCGTCCAGAGCTGCAACTCCAGCGTGAGGGTGGAACTGGAGGCACTTGCAGGTGTAAGTACGAGCGGAGTCACCAGTCCCCAGATCA